CCGATTAACCACATAATAGAGTAATGCGAAGCTTACCTGAAGGTAGGTGTTTTGAAGTCACAGACTCATATAGATGCAATCAAATCTTTTTATTCAAAGACTTAGTAGAAATCTGTTATAACTTGAAAAATGTTGAGTGTATTTTTTGCTATTAACAGTAGCATTATGATCCAAGTCCAGGACTTGAAATGCTGACTTTATGAAGCACAATTAATGCAGAGTAATCTATTAGCCTTACCTCTTTCCCCATGATAAAATAGCTTTGTCCGGATATTTGAAGAATAGCAAGGATACTTCAACAAAAAAGAAATGGGACAAGTTTCTGCTTTTTTCTGTCAAAAGTACAGAGGCGAATGAGAAAATTCTTTTATTGAAGAAAAGTTCAGAGAAACATGGATAACCTAGAATGTTTTGGATTAATTTAAGAAGCAAACATACATATTCTAATTCACATACATTGAAACGACACATTCTGAACCTTAGTGACTGTTAAATCTCAATTACCAGAACTAGAACAACTGTCTTGGAAGAGAAACATTCATTTTGAATTATTTACTGACCCAAGGGAAGAAGTAGAAAAATGCTTCGCTATTATCAATAACTGGCGGAGTGATGACTTCACTATAAGACTGAATAAGAGTGTGAAATTTAAAACCTGTGAAACTATTTTCTTTTCGTATCCAAAAGAACATACATTCAACTGTCGGTTCAATGCAAATCTTATCCCTCAGCCTAACATCCTGTGAAACAATGTCAAAAGTTAGTGAGTTCATCAGAAAAGTTCAGTTAGAGAACTTAACTAGTCTAATGGAAGACCTAGTAAAAGTCTTATGCAATTATATTAAACACTTCGAATCAACAATTTTAAACCGCCGTATAGATTACATAAGTAGGAAGTCGAATAACTGACATTTCCCATCGAAAGATTGCCAGAATCAATTAGTTTATCTTCACAAAAATAAAAACTTAGTCATTAGACACCCTGAAAAAAGGTACTGAAGTAGTGCTTCTGAACAAACCTGATTACCTAGATAAGCTTTCACTCATTCTATCAGGTTGAAACAAACTTTGAGGAGAGATAATTCAGAAACGCCCTACCGAAGAAATAAGGCTTATTTCCTAAGACACTAAAAAAAAAAGAAAGATGAAGCATTGATTAGAAAGGAACTTATCAGGCAACTTCGACCATAAGGTCCTTCTATCCTTCAACCACAAGGTTTACTCAGTAGGCACAAGGCAGGTATTTGTCTCAATCTGATACCGGGTATGACTAGTTCTGCTTAGCATTCAGTCACAAAATGACTCATCCAGATACTTGATCCAGTGAGGAATGAAATTTTGAAACATAGTCTATGTGAAGCATTTCACTTCAATGTATTTTGAGATGAATGGGGATTTTTAATTTGGAAGCAGTATTCATCATGGACTGACATCAGTTGGGGAACCACTGAAAATCTGGGAGCACTGGACAGCTGTGTCGTCCTAGTATGGGACTCCTAAACAGTACGCACCCACAACCCGACTAGGGATCGAACTCAGGACCTTCAGGTTTCACGGTGAACGCTTTAACCATTCGATCAGTGGTTCACAATTTCCAACTTCTGTTACTTTACGATATAGCGGTTGCAAACTGAAGACCTTGAGTGATAGTCACCCTATACCGTGAACTAACAGAATTTGGAAATTGTGAACCGCTGGGAACCGACCCAGTGGTTGAATGGTTAACGCGTTCGCTGTGGAACCCGAAGGTTCTGAGTTCGATCCCTAGTCGGGTTGTGGGTGCGTACTGTTTAGGAGTCCCATACTAGGACGACACAGCTGTCCAGTGCTCCCAGATTTTCAGTGGTTCCCCAACTGATGTCAGTCCATGATGAATACTGCCTTCCAATTAGAAATCCCCATTCATCTCAAAAATACATTGAAGTGAAATGTTTCACTGATAACATTTCACTTTGTTGATTTAATCAAGAATGTTAGTCTGCCAGAAAAGAGAATGATTTCTGTAGATTTCAACACCTCATTCACAAATATTCCACTAAAGAAAACCATTTTGTTGCATTCGTAACTTAAACGCTGGTATCCTAAATCACTATTTCAAGGATCTTCTTACATGTACTTTCAGCACGCTGTTCAAATTCGATAATGAAATCTGCAGACAGCTAGATTATATGGCAATGAGATCGTCTCCAAGACTATATTTAGCTGATTGCCTTATGACAAGCCGCAAAAACAAAACCTTGTCAAAAATAATCAGACAAATTTGTTTCTATAAAGATACATAGATGATAACTTTATTATTTGTGACGAGAATACGAATATCAAAACCTGCTTTGAAAATTTAAATGCTGCTCACTCTAAAAGCGGAGTCAAACTAGAAATTCCATTTCCATGCTGTTTAACCTTAAAGAAAAGATGACACTAAAATCCGTAGATCTATTTGCAGAAACCCCACTTGAAACGGGCGGTTTATTAATTTTCAACGTTGTGTCCTCTTGAGCAGAAACAGAGATCTCATCGACTCAGCCTTCTCAAGAATACAAACAATATGCATGGAGGAGACAACTGACGACAAACTAAGGGACTTGGGGGAAATCCTGATGGAAAATGAATATCCACTGAGACTTGTAGATAAGAATATAAACCCAAAAGACTTCACAGGATACTTGAATTCTGCTCTTTTAGATAAGTCTCTCAAAAGTTTCTACAAATTACAACCAAGCCACTCGAAAGGTGTAAGGTTAAGAAACCTGAGCATAACTGAAGCATTAGCAGTACAAAAGTTCGAACCATCACTGTAAATCTTATAAAGGACATATAACCTCTTCATTTGCCATGGTCAATCATTGTAGATAATTCTCCTGCGATACAACTATAAACTTAGTTTTGCAATCATTTGTTTATTTCCTTATTATAAACTTTCCACCGTCAGACAATTTATCTTGACGTTTGACCAGATTTCGCTCTGGACTTTTGCACTTTCTCTACTACATACTTACAAATGCACAACCAATAGAATGAGTTCGTAAAAGAGAAATATTTTTTTCTGCTTTATTCGATTCGCTTTGCACCAATGGTGAAATGCATTTGTCCCGATATTCTATGAGTTTCAGAGTTATACTTTGTGAATGTGGTCAATAATATGCTGGCATCTAGTGATCTGTGTGTCAACAGAAAATGATAATATAATCCATACCGCGTCTAAAGGTAAAACACAATGTGAGCCAAAAATCTGCATCTAATCTAACCAAACTAAAGTTAGAATAATCGAATAAACAGTAGATTTATTGCTCATAAAAATAAGCTGAAATCTGAAAACTAATAGTGGAAGGCCGTGATAAAAGGCGTATTTGTCTGCTGACAGTCACTAGAAAAATAGTTTTGAAAGTTCAAAAAAATGCATGAGTGTTCAGAGATATTGACCGCTGTAAATCACTACCGTGATAGTAGAGGTTATCAGTACATTCTGTGATTTGGTTGAGCAGATGAATCAATATATGGAATAATGTTTTGGTACTTACCTGACAAACCACCTATTTCCATTATCCCACTTATGTTGATAACATAAAATATTCTATCTGTTAATACTTGATCTCTGTTGGGAGATGCACTCCTATGCTAATCCCTTGATATTCCCAATATGTTTCCTCTTATAATTGACTTGGTTGGGTTAAGCGGTGAAATCTAGAACAAGCGTTCCATCCTATTTGAAACTCTTCACATGCACTCCAGTGATTGTTGTTGTTCCGAATGAGACTCGAACCCATTGCTTCAAACACTAAGACGTCCAAGTAGGCCACTGGGGTATGATAGCCACCTCAAATATGACGAAACACTCGTCCTGGATTCCACTGCAAGCCAAAACTAAGTTAATCATAATAGTAAGTATTCTGGCAATATCAAGGCATCCGCACAGAAGCCCATTTATTAACAGAGGTCAGTCAATTTGATCCAGTATAACAAAGAAGAATTGCAAATATCAAGAAGAATAATAACTAGTGCTCGTTGCACAAGTGATGGGTATCGTCTCTCAATGGTCAAGTGGATAACACTCTGGTGTTTAAGGCAATGAGTAAGAGGTTTGAGTTTTAGTGGGATAACTTAACTCATTGAAGTCTAGGTACATCCAAATGACGAGTCCTAAGTAGGATGGAACACACGTTACGAATTTCACTATTGGTAGCAATCAAGTGAACCACCTCAGTCTTTACGCGATAACTTACTTCACTATCGATTCTTTAGAGGAAGAGATGTAAATAGGAGGATAAAGTCTATATAGCCTAATAGAGACTTTTAAAATCATCATCACGACAGACTTTAGGAGTGTAGATATTAGTTATTGAACCAAGTTGAATGATTTCCTGAAATATGAAGCTTTATATTGTATGCTTATTGAGATTTATGTTACACATGATTTCTTTTCTTTTTAGTGAGATTATACACGCCTTCAGTTGAAAAAATGTCGACGGAAACAAATAAATGTCCATTTCGCTCGTAAACACACTCGCTTAAAATTGAGAAATCGATTTGATATAAGTAAACTGATTGCCATATCCTCACATATTTATTCTATAAGCTCATGCGATTGGTCAGATGATTTACTACACGAAGCTGTTAGGCTTATAATTATACACAGTCTTTCTCCATGAATGTTATATGCAGCTCTAACTTCATACATCCTCATAGTTTAATTAACACAGCATAAAAGTTAGACGTTTAAGTAAAGAGCAATATTTACAGTGGAAAAAATTATGTCAAATTAAAAACTGCTGAGCGTTTGAAGAATTAAGTACTGCACGAAGTTCCAAAAAGAACAATAATATAGATACTCGCACTGATAGATGATGAGTCATTAACTAAATGATATCTACCTTCTGAGTGTGCTGTTGTCCACAAATAAAATATAAAATAAACGAATATATTATTGAATAATTTCATTCATGTTAGCTTTTGTAAACAGAAAATTAGGGCCATCAAAATTTACAAAAGTAGCTCACACTTACTCAACACCTCCATAAACTGTAGCATAATGCAGCGAGTTTTGACCAGCATTGTTAAGAATTGTTAAGTCCGGATTATGACGTAACAGAAGTCTTACCAGTCCAATATTTTGACTAGAGATAGCATCATGAAGTGGTGTGTCGCCGTCACAATCCTAAAAGGTACATTAAAACGGAAAAAATTTTAGTCCATGAGGAATTCTCAAAAACGTATGAATTTGAGAAGATATGATGAAGGAAAATTAAAAAAACGTTAAAGGTAACAAAAACGTTTTTTCTTGATTACTTACTAAATGAAAATGGGAGACAGGGAATATACATCTGGGCTAAGTAACATAAGTGTGAAAAGCCAGACAAAAGTTTCTTTGTGACCAACCGTTTAGGGACACAATGAAAACAGAAAAGAAAATCGAGTCAAAACAAAGCTGAAAGTAAAATATAGTAGGTCTTATGACAATGAATAAGATAATTTGATTAAATAACTTTTCGAGACAGACTGTCAGATTAATATAAAGATAGAATAAGACTTAAAATGATGAATTCAGTAAGTTATTTTGTAAATGAGAATATATTCAAACGGAAAACATTCTAAAGTCTGTATTTGTTAAAGAAAAATGTAGCCTGTATCACAGAAGTGAAAAAGAAGTGAGATTAGGCGACAAATAGATTTAGGAAGATCATAGAAGCAGGGCTTATACAGAAATTACACTAAGTGTATAAATCAGGATTGCTAATTTCATTGGAGAGTGAGTTAGCCTGGGATACAAAGCAAACAGTATGCCACAGATATGCCCAACTCTTTCACATCATATAATGTACCTGCCGACTCACTGACAGTTACCACTTCAGCCTGCAGAAGAGTCGTAAAATATTACCCATAGGCTATTGAATGCAAGGCAATTTTAATGCATGAAAATTAAGCCCAAATGTCTCGGTTGAATTCATGCTCGAGGAATTTTCGCAATAACAGCTTTACTATTATAGGGTTTAAAATCTGTATGAGGAAATCACAATGAAATTAGGTGATTGACAGTTGTGCTAGATTTTGTTAAAATTCATGCGTGGGTCGTCGAAGGGGCCTATCTGCTTTACGGAAATTACCGATTGAGAAAAGATCTAAATGAGAAAGTTGATATTTTTAGTAAGTTCGGATAGATACCAATAATGGTGAATTTCTGTCCAGTATTAATTTTATAAAAACCTTTCTCAATCAGTCTGATTCTTTCACTTACAAACATTTTAAAAATTAGAGGGCTTATTTTTCGTTGGTCCACTTTATTGCGACATTTGCACAGGATTTACTGAAGATAGTTATTTCGCCTCAATAAAAATCAAAACATCAGTGAGATACATAGTGCAGATTGAAAGATGAAGCGGCTGTTTTCTTAACTAAAGGAAAAAACAAGAATAATGCTTGGTTGAATTTGTCTTGCTTCGTCTTAAATTCGCATAAGAATTATTTTAACCATTGGGTCGAAATTCATGTATATTTTCGCGGTTCTTACTAACATTGCCGTAGTTTTATACTTACAAACACATTTTTATGGCTAATCCATCGTTAAAATGCAAAGACTATCAAAACTAGTAGGTAAGGAATACACCATTCGAAAATTCAGATAGTGCTTCATATTTTGCAAGTTTATGTGAAAGTGTAAATAATTACACATGTCTTTCCAAATATAGGAACTCCGCAAACAGGGGATGAAATGAATGGTCTGTCACCATGAATAGTAACTCAAAGCTTAAGCTAACATCAGGCTTACGAGTTCTGCTTAGATCGAAAAACAGGTTTAAAATATCATTCTTCAATGAAAATCTCTAAGTGTATTAGAACTACAGTCTCTTCTACCACTCCTAATGTACACATAAAAATGATGTTGAAAATAATAATAAAAAGGAAAGAACACTAGCAAATCTGAAGAAAAAATGTTGAAGAAAACAACAAAATACTCTCCTTTCTCAAATATTGCCGCTTTGATCTGCCTACAGTAATTAAGTAGAGTGAAACTGATAGAATAGAAAGAAGCGTGATACTTTAAAAAGTGATGAAATTCAATATGTAGTGAGGTGTCAATTTTGGTGCAAGGAAACTTGAGTAAGAAATTTATTACGAGAAAGATACGCATTGATGGAAAACGTGCATAGAGACTATAACCGTTATCTTAAAGAGTTTAATAGAATTCTATGTATCAGAATGAAAAATAATTTAATTAAAAAAATATTAACGGAAGTGAAGCAATGAATCGAAGGAGGGCAGTTGCAGAAAGTTCATCTTTCAGCTAGCACCGTACTCTGCAAGTCAACTATTTTTGGAAAATTAACATCGACGGTGACAATAACTTACGCTAAATGACTTCACTAATAATGAGATAAGTGTAACAATGTAAAAGATGTCAAATTATTGATCAGATTGCATAGTATGAATTTGACAGTATGAATGAAGCCAGTTAGATAAATACACCACCGAACGGAGACCATTTCAGCAGTCTATTCTTTAGTGTTAACTAAAGCATTATGAGATACGGTCACTGCGTTAAGCAGTAGAACTTTATGGTTTATTTTATTCCGATGTTCATTGTCAGGAGTCAGTTGAAAGAATACTCCGAATATAGTTTTGAAGCTTGTTAGTATATGTGCATAGGACTAATTTGAATGCTTGTACTGGTAAAACAAACGGGGGGGGGGAAACAATTAAAAAATAGAATGTTATAACATCCATAATTTTAAGCTTCATTTTCCAATTTCGAACAGTTAAGTATTCTGTTAACATCTCGGTTAAGCGAATAAACACCAGTTAAGAGAATAGAAGTTAGGACTTAAGCATCTTTTCATTTCACTTTGTTAAGATAATCGAATGGTGTGAACTTATATGGTTTATCTTTCACACAAAAGTTGGAGAATGTTAGCTAGTACTAAAACAACCGAATATAAAGCCTAGTACTTTTTATAATCAAGCATAATTTATAGCTAAGATTAATGTATTATAAGTAAATTTTTAATGCAAAGTTTACACACAGTGATAAGTTTTAATTTTGATAATATTTCGAGCAAAATTATTGCTCGTGATCACATCAACAGTTGAAATATTTTAGCAATATTTATTCACACATTCGCCAGTAAGCGTCATATGTATGGTCTTTGCTCATTGTTCGTTAGTCTGCTTGTTTAATACAATGTTCCACATAGTTGACACCTGTGTTGATTTACGTTTGTTGCATGTGTAAGGGGTGACGTGTTTATATCAGAATCAATATTCATCGTATATATATATATATATATATATATATATATATATATATTTATATAGTTAATTTGGTTGACTTCTGTATGTTAGTGTTGTTCCAATCGATGTTATGTTTTTCGTCCCATGCATGAGCTGTTATCGATGAACTTCCTTCCAAATGTTTGTATTTTTGTCCCTATGTAGGCTGACCATTGGTTTATCTTTGATGTTCATTCAGCCTGGTTTCCAACAATCTTGATATTTGTCCCATTAAGCTTATTGGGCAGTCTGCACACCACTTTGTTCTTCCCCAGTCTTTTAAATGGATCCTTTAGTTGGTTCATTGCATTTTTTATCAAATTTATTGGTTTAAATGCTGAGAAAAAATATCAGCCTAAGGTTTCTTCTAATTGTCTCTGATGTAACTTTTTGTACGATAATACCACTGTCTTCATGTAGTTATTTCTCCTAATAACTCATATTGTCGACTTTTGTTTCTTCTTGATGTTAACTTTTATGAATTGATTCATAGGTACCATTTTGAATAAGATATTCATTTCTTTTCGTTGGTCATCAGGTCATGTTTTAGTATACGTATTGTCTCCCAGACCCTGTATCAACCCTCGTTTTTTGTAGTTGGGTGGGCTGCATGTTAATTCAGAAACCTTCTAGTATGCATTGGCTGTCCGTACACTGTTGTGAAGAACAACATCAGGCGCATCAAGGGCTAAAAAACCTCTGAATCTAATGTCTACTCCTAAGCTGTTTTCAGGGATGAGGTTAATCGCTTCGTTTCTTAGAGCACCAGACGTAAACACTATTTACACGATAAAGTCCGTCCTGATGAGCGGAAATGATTTTTATAAATACAGTTCATATCTACTACATTCTGCAATATCGGTGTTTTCAATTCAGAATTTAGAAAGGATAGATTTTACTATAATAAGGATTCTAAACGGAGTCACCAATGATTTCTGTAAAAAAATCAATCCAAGATTTTCCACTCAGCATTGTTCTACGCATGCATATATGAAGTTTGAAACATAATAAGAATTTTAAAAAATAGTGTCTAATCTAGCAATAAAATCTACTGTAATATGTGTGAATAATTTAATGTTATCTTACAGAAATATTCGTTAGAGGATCAAAAGTATTTTGCAGCTTTAGTATTAAAAACCTAGTGTCTAGTGCACGTTTGATATCCTGTTGTAATGAAATTGTTCATATATCATTCTTCAAAATCTGTGTTAATTAATGAGATGAAATAAGGATTTTATTAAATATACAGCTTTGTGCAAAACAAACACTGTACTTCTTTAAACTTTGTTCATTAAGTATAATTCATATCCTGGTAACATCAAAAATACACGTAATAGTCAGAAAGCAACGTGATACCTCAGTGGTTTGTTAAAAATTTTATGAAGTTGAGTAGAGTTCGGTTTTTTCGCGATTAGGTGTTACCTAGAGATTGTGGTTGTTATGATTGAGAGCCAAGACAATGTGTTGAATTCATATCAAGAAATTTGTTAACATTAAATCTTCTAGCTTATCTCATAGACATGATTTTGTAATAACGAAAACATCTGTAGAGAAATGAGACCTTGAATGCATGAAATATATTTGTAATACTTTTTAAGTAGGGAAAATTCTAAACTTTATGCAAATAAATCATCATCAATGTGGTACTCTCTGCATAGAATCTTACAAATAAAATCATTTTGTTTCTTATGATCCACGACTTGCCTGAAGTTGACTGAAGAAGATAAAGAACTTACCAGAAAATATCCATTTGAAATATAGTGCTGAAGTTGTCTTTTGGCAAGTAATGTGCTGAAATTTCTAACAGTAAAGTCTCATCTCTCAGAATGCCAGTTCAGTTTATATTTGTATAGTAAATCTAGTTTAGATCCTTTTGGTACTGTCCTGGTAGAA